CTACACTGATGCTGCTTATTATTGTTTTTAACGAAACTTTTGGGCTCTTTTGCCTTCATTGAATAGTACAGTGACGACACATAGGAAAGCAGGGAGAAAGCAAATGGTCAGAATTGAACTAGGGCCCCTGCTACTCCTACTAGTTATTTCACACTTAAAGTGGCCATAATACTAATTAAAAAGGAATCATTATTACATTAAGCAGAAATGCAGAATGTAAATAACAAATAAAAACTTTTGGTCTTTTGTCCTGCTACTTTTTCTTTATTTTTGAGCTACAGAAAAAATGCCTTTTTAAAGATATGTAGTAATTTGAGAGTCAAATGTTGACTGGTGCATATTTCATTGCTGTTGTACTTCACCTCTGTGCTATGTGTACTTGTTTGTTGAGGTGGAGGAGACTCTGGACCTGGCAAAACTGAACAGTTGGTTGGATCAGATGAAGGAAACAACTGTCTCTGTTGAGGTCCCTCGCTTTAAGGTGGAGCACAGCTTCAGCTTGAAGGAGAAGCTTAAGGAAATGGGATTGACTGACCTGTTCAGCTCTGACAAGGCCAGCCTGCCAGGTACTTAAACCTGAACTTTGGATCTCAGTCCAAAGTCCACATCAATTGAATTAAAAGTGAATTTGAGTATTATTTTTGATTATACCATTACATAATCAAATATAATTGTTATACATGTTATTCAATTATATTTGGTCAATCTGGTCAAACATGATACATTTGGTCCAAACATTTAACAGTCTGAACATGTTTGGAATTTGGGGAAACCTGCAGTCAGCAGAGACTGAAGAAGACTCTCTCCAAAGACCAAATTATATTATTTACTGAAGATTCATGTCATTTAAATCAGGTTTTGATGCAAACATAAATGGAGGAGACCCTGCAGCATGGTGTGTTTTCATGGCTTCTATTAAGTGGTCTGCGTTTTTATTCTGAATATAGAAGGGAAGCAGAAAAAGTCAACTTGACCTGTTGTTGGTTTTGATTATGGCAGTTATAAATGAACAGTTAAGAAAAACCACAAAATTCCTTCTGTGTTTCAGGGATGCTGGAGAATAGCAACTTTGGGCTCTACATCTCAGATGCCTTCCATAAAGCTTTCCTGGAGGTCAGTCAAATACTATCTACATCACTTAGAGCATGTTTTACATTATACAAGTCCTTTTTTCCAAGTGTGGGTCGGGACCATTGACTGTATTCGAATGATCAGCATAGCTTCCAGGTCTGAGAAGCAAAGCCAATGCAGAAGTATAAAAAGAAATTGTTTTCCTATGAGCTTGCAGGTTTTCTTGGTTATTTCAGTCCTGAGATGGTAAAAAACATGACAAACTGGTGGGTGATGGCTACATACATTTCTACATACTATGATCAGGACTAAGGGGTGAGGGGTGCTTCTGTAATGAAAGACCACATTTGAGTGGTAGTGTTTCCATTTTAAATGTTTTTTTTATTTTATTTTTTTTAACGATTTGTCTTGAATTTCCAGACCTCTTTTGGAAAAAATGTTTTTCCCTTAAATGTTATTTTGGGCCTTTTTTTGTATATAATTTCGTTTGGTATTAAAACATAAACATCTAAATCCATATTGGTATCCTGACAGTTGATATAAATTCAGAGAGATGCATTTATACGAGTTCATCTCTCAGACACAGGTTTTAATTTGAGTTAATAAGCAACTGTGTGTGCTGTTGCAGGTGAATGAGGAGGGCAGTGAGGCGGCAGCAGCCACCGCTGTGGTGGCCGTTGGACGCTCCTTCAATCCGTACAGGGAGGTTTTTACAGCCGACCGGCCGTTTCTGCTGCTCATCAGAGAGTCCATCATCAACACACTGCTATTCACCGGCCGTGTTGCTGATCCCTGCAACCAATAAAACCCTACACATGAAGCGATTACTGCTTTGTTAAAAGCCGCAAATCGTAAAAATATAGTAATAAATATTTCAAAATGTAAATATACTGCATAACAATTCGGCACTGTGCTGTATGATGTGGAGCTAATGCAAACTTCATTTTACAACATTATACACTACACACTCAAGAGTGGGGTTTTTGATTTTTAGCCAAAGTTTTAGACGTTTGTTCTGTACTTCATTTCATTTAATTCCATCCATCCATCTGCGGTGGCAGCAGCCTAAGCAGAGAAGCACAGTCCTCCCTCTCATCAGCCACTTCCTCCAGCTTGTCCGGGGGAACACCAAGGCGTTCCCAGGCCAGCCCGTTGGTGTATGGTGCCTTGGTGCTTCTCCCTCATTTCCCAACAACACGTCACAGCAGTTAGATTTATCCAAGCTTGGGACCGGCGCCGGGAATCCACTAGCTGATCACCCCTGAGGATGGGTTCATGTCTCCTCTTCCCGGTCTCAAATCAGCGATCAGGGTGACTTAGAAAAGATGCAGCTTTCAAAAGTGTTTCCACAGTAAATGATTTAAGTAAATAAATGCAAAACAAATGAAATAACAGTGTTGCTGAATATCTCTGCCTTGAGATACTCACCGTGGCTTCAGATGAAAAAGAACTGAACATGAAAAGAGACCACATGAAGGACAAGAAGCATCTGCCCTGTCAGCCCGAACTCAGCTTACTGAAAACCATCCAGATTCTCCACAAGGACTGGGAAAAAAAAAAACCCATCCACACCTGACAGAGTGCCAAGAAACGAGAGGATTTACATCCAATAACTTAAAATATTAAAGAGCAGAAAATCTTAACGCATTAAAATACTTTAATTCTGAGCGTTTTGCTGCAATAACAACAAACTTTTTTTTATTTTTATACATTTTTTTTTATTTTTAGTAGTAGTAGTAGTAGTTGCAGTATTCAGTTTGAGGCACTTCTAAACATGTTCATGGAAAACAGGTGAGAGAGTAGTGCTGAATTCCAGATGTGTGTGTCACGTTCACACGCGCACGTTTGTGAATGCTGCTGGAGACAGAGGCGAGTCGGTGGCATTTGTCACTTAAAGTGCTTTATTTCCTTTGAAGGAGATGCAACCTGTGAGTGATCTAGTGGTCATAGTGAAAGTAAGCATCTTCACATTTATCTAAACTAACTGACCTTTGGCCTCACATCCCCCCACCCTCCCACACCCTCCACCAACATGATTTAGCAATAGACATGCAACATAAAAGATGTTCACATAAAACCTTTCAGGTTCATCTACTACAGAACTTAAGTACTTCCTCTTCAAGAAAAAAAAAAAGTACAGTATTAAAAGTTAATTTACTATCTAAAATTTGTTTACTTTGACTTATTTTCTGCATCGATATATTAGGATATACTCTGAGGAATCAACATTAAAGAGTTATTACGTGAATATAGTTAAATGATCAGATTCATGGTTAGGCATGTTGTGGTCAATGTTACTGGATATTCATGTGCTAAACACTGGATTTATCCAGGTAGGAAAAAGAAAATTTAGACTGCACCTATTACAAGAGAATTAAACTTTAGCATTCTGAATAAAGCAAATGAGCTGGAACCTTGACTGACTCAAAGACGTGAGGATCATGAGGAGGTTCTGCTATTTTTCACAGTTTGAGGATGAAAGCGGATCAGGACATGAGAAATCACTGAGGAGGAAAAGTCTGATTTGGGCCGTCTGTGTTTAAAGCAAACGTAGCTGAAGTAACGGTGAACACTGCGATGAGCCTTCACATTTACTCATGTCTGACTCATTACTGCGTCGCTCGTGTTGTTGAGCATAATGACAGAGACTGTTTGTGACTCCAAGGGATTGGGCAAACAGCAGATACAGGCCAGTTTACTTCAAAAACTAACGAGTGAACAACATTTAAGAATGCTAGGCGAGGCCATTTCACCGAGGTTGGTTCAGTTGAGCACCTTCCCTCTTACAGTTCAGTGTTCACTACACTTCACAACCCATTTTGGGTGAATTGAGACACATTTGCTTGCTTTACCAAGTTTTTCTTAATATTTTTGCGTATAACTATACAAGTCTGATGTACAACAGAATGATAATTTGAATATAGACTGAAATCTGTCGCATCCATTTCCACTGGACAGATTCATGAAGATTGGGTTGTTGTTGGTGCCTTATAGGCAAACTGTCAATGCTGCATGTTTGAGCAGAGAAAGACTTGGTTGAGCGATTCTCTTAAGATCAAGTTTGAAATGCAGTTGTTTCTGAATGCAGCTCTAAGCCAACTTTTCCTGCTGTAGATTTCTCAAGTAGGACCACACTGAACCAGAAGGGAGCAGCTTGTTACCAGCAATAACTTGAAATGATGTATTGCTCAGTGAAAACATGAAGTCTTCCCTGCTTTCCTTCAACTCAGAGCAAAGAGGAGGAAGCAGAAACAGAACGTGAAACACAAAAAAGAAGGCCGATCTGTTTGTTCCTGGATCTATGGTGGTTGGAAACCCCAAGTTAATGTCTTAATGCTGGAACAGGTCAACATGTGCAACTCGAATCTTTTGTTCTTTGTCAGAAATGTCTCTTTGAAGTACTTCTCATGATCACTGCTCTAAAAACAATTTCTATACATTGGATAATTCCTGATAAATGTAAAACACAAAGTGAACCAAAATGAACCGGACTTCTTATGAAACACATGAAGAAACGCTCAGGTCTTAAATCGTCTACATGATGTCGGTAATTGAATCAATAGAGGGGCTGAATCCTGACCTGTGCAGAAAATATTATTGAAGGTGAAAAAGTGTTTCGGGCTACGCTTTCTGGTACTGGACTTTATATATGATAAAACAAGTATATGCATCTGGGATTTTACGAAAATGGTGGCACACCCATTTATTTTAGTTTTTTCTTCTTTTGGGTGGGGTTTCTCAGAAATAAAAGGCATTTTTGTTGGTCAATGGCCAGAAACAGCAATACAATGCTGAAACAGTCTATCCTATGTCTAGTTGTTACCCCGAAAAGGCCCACTCTGCAGCAGGAAAGCCCTGTACCTGTGGATTTGTAATTCACGTTTAAACACAAGAAGAAATAGCAGGTAATTGCCAACGTCTTCTTTTTAGCCTTATATCAACAAAACTAAAGAGTTCCACACTTAAAAGTCCTCAACTGCTATAATACCTACTGAGTATGGATTACTGTTGGGTCTACCTTACAATATAAAGCGCCTTGAGGAGACTGTTGTTGTGATTCGGCGCTGTATAAACTGAATTGAAATTGAGACGAACATTATTTTGCTAACATAACATGTTAAGACTACAATAAAATGGATACATTTGACCTGAAAAAAATGATGCAGGAAATAACACGAATACACAAATGTACTGTAAAGTCACGTGTTGGCTGCTGCTAGATGCGGGTTCAGGCAAATGACTTGAGCTGCTCTTTGTCATGTCACATACCTCCCAGCACGTTGCACTGTTTAATCTGTATAATCACAGCAGGTTTTAAAAAGTTTTTAATCAGCTCCTGATTTGAATGTGATGGAGCCATGTTGAAATACTAAATACCTTCCAAAAGTAATGTCCATTTAGGGGAATTTGTTCAAAGAATTTGATTATTAATTAGCAGCTAAAATCATTTGATTGTCACTTTATGGAACATGAAATATTTTATAAATGTGCTTTTCCCCTTTATTCTGTAGGGTACAATACACAGCACCTTGGGGTGACTGTTGAATGGAACTTAATTGAATAATGTTTGCTTAATTTTATGCAATATTTCCTGCACGAGTCATTGTATTCAGCCCCTTTTGGTTGCTTCTAAAAGTCGCGATTTCTCTCAAAACACCTGCTCAAAGTCACGTTCCAGCCCAACACAGCAGACAAAACTTAAACATCTGTCAGAGGCAAGATCACCACATACTTAAACACCGACCCAGACTGTGGGAGACATCCACACAGTCTGTGGAAAGAGGTCTTGAGGTCACCATGCTCATTTCTGTTTCATATTTCCCAGTCTTGGTTTTGCCGACCTCTACGGCGACTCGTGAGGATGCCTTCCCTGCTGCTTTTTTTTTTTTTGTTTACAGGTAAGTTTTATTTCTGCAGCGTGCATACTGCACTGAGGTTTAGCTGTTAGCATACTGCTACGTGGGAAAGGTAAACATCCAATTCTTTGAATAAAAGAAAAGAGTTTGTATACCTGATATCCTGGTTAGCCTGAAGTGTGAGCCTAGCGGCAGTGGCTGCAGTGGCATCTGGGACAAAATCTCCAATCACTCGATTGAGGACAGAGCCGCTGGCTTCACTTGCATAAAAAAATTGACCATCCACTGAGAATCTGTTTCACAGCTCTGTAGAAGAAAACAGTAACAGTCCATCTGTGTGCTACCTGCCTACTCCTAGCTTGTTTACATTAATCATATTTAAAAAACAAAACAAAAACATCTTAGTAGTTTAAATACATTTGTCTTATAATGTGTGTAGATTTGTTATTGTTCTCTTGTTACAAAAACTTTGTGACCTTCTCGTTCTCCCTCATTGATAAGAGGTTTAGTTGTTTTGGCGTTTTGAGGGGCCCACACGGCCACGCCATCTTTCCTTTGGTTGCCAGATAGTCCGACCTGCTCCCGCCCGCCAACAGGTCAACTCTGATCACAGGAGGCTTCTGAAGTTCAGCTCCATGGCCTGGCCACTACATCCATCTGGTCTATCAGGGTTTGGCTTGTCAATATCCAATCAACGTTCATCCAGATCAGAACCATCTAGTCAGTGACGCATTACCTCTACTGCACTCCGTACACAAAAACGAAGCCAAGGTCGGGTAACGTGTTCTGTTTATGTATTCAAATGTATATATTTTGTGGTCTACCTTTTTATGTGAAGACTCCATTTCTGAATGTTGAGACATTTATCCTCAACAGTGTCTGAAATGTCACAGTTTCATGTCTGTGACATCAGGAGTGAAGGTGAGGTCATCTGTGGCAGTGCTGTGGTGCTCAACAAGTTACAGAAGGACTTGTTGAGCACTCACAAAACTAATATTTTTAATAGGTTAAATAAGGCAAGCATATTAATGTATTATTTTATGATCTTTACTATCCGGTAAAAAACAAACAAACTTCAAGACATGTTGAGGAGGTAATTTAGCCATTTGAATCAGCAGTGTTGGATCAAGGACACATCTAAAACCTGCAGGACACCGGCCCTCGAGGCCTGGAGTTTCCCCACCCCTGTTCTAAGGCGAGGTATTCCCAAAGGAGACCCGAAGAGATCATTTCCCTTTTCCTGACACTTTATGGTGAGTTTTTTTTTTTTTTATAATAATGCATTTTTTTAGCTATGTCAGTGGGGTCTGGCCCCCTTATATATAAGACTTTCTCCCCATTTATATTGTTTTTTAATCTACGAGTCATGTTTGTAGTTTTTTGTTGCACTACAGCTGTTGGAGCCATGTCGTCTCGTCTCTCTGTACACTGTGTTTACAGTAGCGATGGCAATAAATTTTGATTAGACTTCGGTGTGCTGACTATAATTGGAGTCACTTCAGCAGACCTTTCTACTGTGTCGGTGTCTTGAATACCTGTGCTTCACCTGTTCTTCACTCTTAGTTTCAGTCTGATTTTTTTCCCTCAGGCTTGTTGGTAAGTGCAGTAGATTAAATGCGTCACTAACTGTCACACAAGACACTGATCGGGTCTTCCCAATATCTTGTTCTCCTCAAACAACAAGCTGTCTTCCATCACACCCGTTGTCAGAGCAAGAAAGTGTCCAAGAAAACTGAAGAAAAACAATAAATACATGTTTGTTTATAAAAATATCTGAGAAAAGTGACTGAGATCTCTGTGGGAGTGGAGCAGAGCGCTTCCTGGTGGTGCTGTGCTGCAGCTGTATTGCGTAGTGATGAGAGGTAATTGAGCTGTGTAGCTTATCTGAGGCTGGACCATGTCCAGTTTTCCTGCTGTGAGTTTGTTGGTGGTCAAGTGTGATCTAAAACCTGCTGTAGAAGCTGAGTTCAACTGCCACAGTAAAAACACTATTGTAAGGAAGTTCTATTCAATTCATGCCAAATTCATTAACCCAGTGTGACTGGAGTCCCCACAGACATTTTTCCATCCATTTTGCCTGCATGAAGCGTGAGAATGCCTCTCAATATTTGTTCTACGACACATCCCGTGTACATCCAGAGAAGCGGAAGGCTGATGGAGCCGTCCGCATTCGATTCTCAGGGCCATACTTGTGCATACATACATACAAACTTGTGACTTTATCACAGGGTCACATGAAAGCATGTAATAGTTTTCATGTGACACAAATAAGTCACATGACCTATGTTGCATTCGAAGGCAATGGGATATACTACTGCATCTCCAAAAATTACAGTGAAAAAGTGATTATTTTGGCAATTTCATTCACAATGGTGATTTTCATATATTCTATATTAATTACACACAAAGTCAATATTTTCAAGCATTTTTGAAGTTTGCTTATAGCTCAAGAAAATTAGAAATGGAGTATTTCAAACTGTCCGAGATACTGCACTGAGGTCTTTATCATTTTAGAAAATTTCTAGTCAAACCACAGTATCTGTCTCAGTACACAATCACAGTCATGGGGAAGACTGCTGACCTGACAGCTCTCCACATGACGATCATTAATATCCACCACAAGGAGGGTAAGCCACAGAAGGTCACTGCTGAAAAGGCCGGCTGAGTGGAGACGTTTTATATGTCAAAGGATAAACTTCCAGGAAGACGGCTTCATGTTTCTATCTAGCGATGCCGGTGCAAATTTCCTTTGCCAACAGGACTGACCTGACTACAGCTCCACCACTACTACCACATGGTTGCCAACAACGCTATTACTCTACTTAACTGTCAAGCCAAATCACATGACCTAAACCCCACAGAGACTCCATGGAGTATTTTCGAGGAAGATGTGAAAACCTGATCCAAAAATCCACACGAAGTTGGCATCAGAGCAGCTTCAATAGGATCTTAGCAGAGCCACACTTTTTCTCCATATTCTATTTTTGTGAGATGCACTAATAGTTAAAAACTTTGTATACAGCAGTTCAAAACCCCAAAATACTCCCCAAAAAAAAATTTAGTTCACAGTGACTAAGGCAAATCTTCTCTCTTTTAAAATGCAGGTATTTGGGTTTTTGACTATTCTCGATCAAAAATAATAACATTAAACATTTTCAGATTTTTATCGGCCAAGTATATATTCATCTACACCTGCAAATTCTTCCATTGGGCACACACGGGTGGCTATGACTTAAGAGGTAGAGCAAGTCACCCTCTAAATGGAAGGTCGGTGGTTCGATCCATGGCTGCTCTAATCTCCAATCCAAATATCCACGGGCAAGATATTAACCCCAAGTCGCTTAAATGTGTGTGACTGTTAGATAGAAAGCACACAGCAAAGTGTTTGTGTGAATTCGTGGACGAGGCAAGTTGTATAAAACGCTTTGAGTGCTCAGAGTAGAAAAGCGCTACATGAGAACCAGTCCACTTACATCGTCTTTTACATTTTACAATTTTTGATGGATGGTCATATTGTGAAACAGAAGATTGTGCCTGCAGTTTTTTGTGCTGTACAGTGAGGTATGTACGTAGTGTCAAAGTGTGTAGTGTAATAACTTTATCTATCCTGAATCGTGCCAAATGCAGGAAAATGGGGAAAGATCAGAAACTCCAATCACACTGGGATGCACCGTCAGCTAAATAGTTTTAAGTTTCTCATTGAACCTTTTTGTGCAACTATACCTTTTAACGCCATTATGGCACTTATAGAACGCATAAGATTATTATTACTACTACTATTATCATCATCATCATCCAACGGCTCCAGATTGTCTCAAGGCAAATATGAGGGATTTGAATTGTTTAACTGGCACTGAGTAGTTTGGCAAAGTCTCCACCAGACATACTGTTGTGATGCTGTATTGTGGACCAGTAATACCTGTAAATATAAAAGTAGAAATCTGTAACATAAACTAGACGGAGGCAAACGAGAACCACTGAACTTTGTGGCATATGAGGTTGTTGGAGTGTGTGGAATTTCTTCATTTTAGCTTAATCTGTTCGGTTTAGTAGGTGAAGGTAGATGCGGTTTAAAGCGGATAAATCTCATTTCAGACTCTGAGGGGTCCTTTGACTTCAGCGGGTTTAACATCCTGTTAGCTTTGGTTACAACAGGATCATGCTGCCCCACTCACCCCCCACCCCATGTTCCTTCCTTCACTGGGGTCAGTCTGGTCCTGTTGTAGAAACAGAGGCTTGGGGACCCTCTCCATATTGCCCTCCAGCACTATTACCTCCTCCACCTTCAGATTCCTCCTGACTAGGGGAGGCCTCATCACTGGGACCACCCCTGGATGTAACTGAAGCGGTGGTAGTCTCAGGAGAGGCGCTGTGGGCTTCCTGGGGTGCACAGCCTGGGTGGTTCTTGCGGAAATGCTGGTTGAGGATGGCCTGGAAGGGGAAGCTCTTCCCACAAACGTGGCAGTGGAAAGGTTTGTTGCCAGTGTGCTTGCGGATATGGTACTCCAGCTGGTCTTTACGGGTGTACTTCTTCCCACAGATGCGGCAGACAAATGGTGTTATACCCATATGTAGGCGCATGTGACGGTCTAGGCTCCCTTTCTGGTTGAAGGATTTGCAGCAGTAGATGCAGGTGAGGCGTGGATTGTAGCGGAACCAGCGATCTCCTACCTGCTCCCTCAAGTAGTCCTCGTAACCGCCCATATCAAACGTTGTATGCTCCTCTCCCTGATGGGTAGAATGAAATGCAAAATTAAACGTTAACATAGTGGACACCATGACAGAATGAATCAAATAAGACTTTAGATCATTTTAGATAAACATGCCCTGAACAAATTGTACTGTCCTCCTGCATCATGCTCTCTGTTGTCGGTCAAATTTGTGTTACCTGAGTATGTTAATGTCCGTAAGAAACTGCCAACAGTTTTCTCTTTTAAAAAAAAAAAAAAAAAAGTATTATTGTAGTGTCTTTATGTTACAACATAAAGCACCTTGAAACAACTGTTGTTATGATTTGGTGCTATATAAATAAAACTGAATTCAAACTATAATAGATTCCCTGGGACATCAATCATCTCGTCAACATAAAGACCAGATGTTGTTAGCAGTGCGTATGGGTACAATGAGGCCATACACACTACTAACCCACATTATGACTCAAGCCTGTGGTGATATTTTTTATCTTTCATTTTTAGTGAGTCGAGCCCTCAAAGGGTGGATCAGTTTATCCATTTACACTGACAGTTGTATCGTTTATGATAACGTATAACAGTAAAGACTTTCAACTCAATTTAATTCAATATGTGATTTAAATGTACCCTGATTCTTTTGTATTACTGCACAATAAGGAGATTTTAAAAGTCCTTTAAAAGGTTAGATTCAGCAGGAAAGGTCCAATCAAAAGTTTAAAACCACTTGAAAAATGGCAAAAAAAATAAATAAATCATATTTTGCATGGTTAGATCTCAACAAGGTTCCAAGTAGAGCTTCAACATGCAACAAGAAGAAATGGGAGAGAGACAAAGTGTTTTTGATGGTTTCCAATGTTACTGGAATGGCAAGCAGATCCCACCTGAGATGTTTTCTGCGCGCCACAGTGGAGGGGGCACCATAACTGTCTGGGGTGCTTTTTCCTTAAATGGAACAATGGAGCTTCAGGAGGTGCAGGGGCATCAAACAGCCGCTGGCTATGTCCAGATGTTGCAGAAAGCATTCCTCATGACTGAGGGCTCTCGTCTGTGTGGTAACGACTGAGTTTTTCAACAGGACAATGCTACAGTACACAATACCCACAATGCAAGGGATTTTTTCCAGGAGAATAACATCACTCTGTTGGACCATCCTGCGTGTTCCCCTGATCTAAATCCAACTGAGAACCTTTGGAGATGGATGGCAGGGGAAGTTTACAAGAATGGACAACAGTTCCAGACAGTAGATGCCCTTTGTGCAGCCGTCTTCACCACTTGGAGAAATCTTCCCACTCACCTCATGGAAACGTTTGCATCAAGCATGCCGCAACAGATTTTTGAAGTGATCAACAATAACGGCGGAGCTACTCATTACTGAGTTCATGTTTGGAATGTTGATTTCTGTTTTAGGGGGTTTTCTGGTTTTTTGCCGTCTTAAACTTTTGATCAGCTGTAAAACAGCTTAGTAAAAACTACGCGTTTTCAATAAATTGTATGCTCAAAAAATGTTTTGTCTCACTCCCATTTCTTCTAGTTGAATGTTTAAGCTCTACTTGGAACTTTGTTCAGATTTGACCAAAACTGACTTTTTGCCATTTTTCAATGATGTACAAAATGATCACACATTACTTTAATTTTTGTTGTTATGGGATTCAGAAAAAAAACAGTGCTTTTCTTTAGGTTGTTGCATATCTACAGGAAGAGTCTAGTGATCCTTTATCATGACTAGGCTGGTAATCACTAAATAGACTCTGTATCTATTTAAGAACCACTTTGTAAGCCAGTAACCACGAGCCACTTGGTTTCCAGTTTCTTTGTAAATCATTACATATTACTATATAAGCTTAGTGAAGTTGTATTTAATAATTAAATAACACATACCAACAGGACACATATAAATTTAAAAAAAGTATTCATTATTGACTTCATATATCTAAATTTCTTTACTGTGTTTCTCTGTGATTTATGTCCACCCTAGAAGAGTCCACAGTGCTCTCACTTTCAGTGTGAACACCGCACTTCCTCATTTGGCCTTGAGTGTAACAAAACATTCCCAATAAGGTGTCAAACGTAACATAAGAGAGCAAGAAAAGGTGAAAGAGAGTGACAGGGACAAATGTGACACATCTCCATATTGCTGACTCTTTCCTGGTAACTTCCTCCATGTTTCTTATCCGTGGAAAAGAAACATGGTGTTTTAATAATTTCAGTTGTCTGTAAAAGAAAAAAAAAAAAAAAAAGGTTGGTCTCTACTGGCTTACTAACTATGACAGTTTGTGTTTGTACCTGTGAGTTTGGCTGTCGCAACTCATCTGCCCTGCTAGGAGACTCGCTCTTTGCTCTCTGACGTTCTGTGAGGACGACCACGCTGCCAGTGGGACTAAACCTGACATCAAAAATCAGTTAATTTAAAAGGAAAGGGGAACAAAACCCACACACAAATCATCATCATCAGGTGTCTGCAGACCAGTCAGTGAACCATGGAGGAATATCTTAGCTATGACTCACCTGTCTGTCTCGCTGAAGCTGGAGGATGGCTGGATACTACGGGCCCCCAGCGTTCCTACTGGTCCAGTCACCAGTGTACTGCGTCCTGATGTGTCAATCATCACCGTGGCCCCCTCTTCCACTGGCCCTCCCTCCTCCTGGTGCTCTTCTGTTCCAATCCATTCCTCCATCCTCTCTGTTTTTATCCTGATCCCATCCATGCTGCTCTCCTCAGCGCTGCCAGTCCGTTCTGGTTCACTGCTGGTCTCCACATACCACTGACCAGCTCGGTTGATGCGTAGTATCGGTTCTTTGCCTGCTCTTCCACTGGTGGTCCCTGGCCCTTCTAGCCCACTGTGCTCCACCGCTGGAACTGGGCTAAGTGGCTCTTCTGCTGGACTGACTGCTTCACATGGCTCTGCACCTCCCCGTGGGCCAAGCAGCCGCAGACCACTGTGACCCCCTCCTCGCACCACAGCCTCCAATGTCCTACTATTCCTGGAGCCCCGTGCCCCCTCCTCATCCCTGGACTCTTCGTCCAGGTCAGCCAGACTGATCTTAAGGTGGATACCCTCAAGAATTTGGGTGCAGCGGTCAATAATGTGCTGCATCTGCAGGAAGCTGGCAGCTGTCAGGTAGCTGATGATGTCTGCAAGCTGCAAGCAGAGACGGCCCGTGTAGCAAAAGGACAGCAGTTGCTCGAACACTGAAGGATTACGGATCACTGTCAGTGACACAGTGCTCATCTGACTCAAAGACATGTGGTCCCGAAAGTATGGCGAGCTGGCTGCTAGTACGACCTTGTGTGCACGAAAGCTTTGGCCCTGAACATTGACCACAATGTCACAGAGACGGCCTTGAACACGCAGCTGGTTCAGGTGAGAAAGAACAGAGTTACTGAAGTCTGGGATGTCCAGCTGTATGCTGCCGGTACGCTCCATGCTGCAGCCTGCAGGGACACTGAAAAAACAGCAACACATCAGTGCTGACCCACACCAGGACCTTTTTGCTTAAAACTGGCAAATGATTCCAGATTAATAAACGTGGAAACCATCAAGGATACCCCGTTTTATTAATCTGATTCCAGATTAATAAAACAGGATGTTTTTTTCATCAATCTTCAATGAAACAGTGACATTACTGATTGGGGGTGTTGTGACTAATGCTACCTTATCATGGAAAGCAAATCCGCAAAAAGCAAAAACAAGTTACAGCCATATGGAATTTGCAGTGCATAATTCAGTTCAAGTTCTTCCACTGTTATCTTTTTCAATGTCATGTGCCAAAGTAGTGCAAAGAAAGCAAGTAAACTCTGCCCCTACAGAGTCGATTATCTTGTTAATAGTGTTACACCCTTGTCTGCGTATAACTCAACATACTGTAGGTCCTCTAAAAAGAAAGCCTCAAATCAGAAGTACTAAACTCCCTGGTGTAACTCTCAAAGGCACACCTTAAAGTAAATAGCCCATAAGTTGGAGAGAAAATGGCAGAAATTTAGAAGATCAATGATTAGTCTGGAAAAAAAAGTTTGCAGTTCTATAAAAAAAAAAGCCCCCATGTAAAGCTAGAACATCGGACTATTCATCACTGACTGACGAACAGCCCAAGATTTCTCTTCAGCACTGTAGCCAGGCTGACAAAGGGCCAGAGCTCTGCTGAGCCAAGAATCGCTTTAACCTTAACTTGTAATGACTTTGTGAATTTCTTGACAAATAAAATTTTTACCATTATAAATCAATAATAACCATGTCATAGATGTATTACTATTTACAGCTACTTTCATTGATATTCAATTAGACTTTTTTCCTCTCCAATTAATTTTTCTGAGTTAACTTCAACAATCACTTCCTCCAAAGTGTCGATTACGCCCCATTCTAACAAGACTGCTCAAAGAAGTTCTTCCATTAATGCTTTGGTAATGTCTCTGTGGAAACTCTGGGTTAACTTATCGAATTGATAACCAGCTTTGTGTAACCTGATCACCAACCGATGTTAGGGTAAGTGAATCCAGAAAATGGAAATATACCCTGGATATGTTACACTCACTTTGTAGTAGAGCGCACAGACCCCATCATGCTGCATAACTGCCCAGTGAATACTTCAAAGTAGGGACTTAGCCGACTAATTGCTGATGTCTTCTCACTGGTCGATACAGATTAGTCATTTAATCCAATTGTTAAAATGTTAATTACCCAATGAAGGTAAATTATTGTGTCCTAAATGTTTGCACCCATCTGTCACCAGTTGGCGCATTGTTGTGGAGAAATACCATAAATCTGTTAATCTTGGTCTCATCTTTTGTGAATGATAGTAGATACAAGTGGCAGACAAGGGCTTTCTCCGAAAGGTAGATAGGCTTTCCCTTAGCGATAGAGTGAGGAGTTCAGTCAATCAGGAGAGGTTCATAGTGTCGAGGTGCTGCACGTTTAAGGCATGATTCATTATTGAAGAATATAAATGTTATAAGAGTTTGACATTTTCAATTAAACGGTTCTCAAATCTACCTTAATACGCGAGTATTTCTTAGTTTTAGGCTAATGGGTTAGTCTAATTTTCTTCCACCATTAGTGGACTATTAAATCAGTCGCCAGGAACATCCCTACTTGAAATCCTTCTACTTGCCGAGAACCATCATCTCTCAGAACCTAAACCTCAGCTCCTCCTCCCTCTACCCATCCCTTGTGTTGTTCTTCTTGAATTTGGTCTCCAGCTTCCTCCTGTACGAGCTCTTGCATATCCTTAGCTTCGCCCTTAGATCGTGCGGCACTCTCCTCAGCTCTTTTGTTCATGGACCTTTTCGTCTCTTTGTTCTTTCAGGTTACTACTGATCAGAGGCTTATTGTTCACAAAGCATACAGTGCTGGCTGGTCTGATGGTGTGTTCACAAAATTGGACATATTCTATTCTTTAGCCAGTCAAACTTTTAAAACCCATCTTCCTATGCCTCCACAGCCTCATCCATCCACCTTCTGACAACTCCCATAGACACAGGTTTAATTTACAGTGGGGCAAAAAAGTATTTAGTCAGCCACCGATTGTGCAAGTTCCCCCACTTAAAATGATGACAGAGGTCAGTAATTTGCACCAGAGGTACACTTCAACTGTGAGAGACAGAATGTGAAAAAAAAATCCATGAATCTCACATGGTAGGATTTGTAAAGAATTTATTCGTAAATCAGGGTGGAAAATAAGTATTTGGTCACCTCAAACAAGGAAAATCTCTGGCTCTCACAGACCTGTAACGTCTTCTGTAAGAAGCTTTTCTGTCCCCCACTCGTTACCTGTATGAATGGCACCTGTTTGAACTCATCATCTGTATAAAAGACACCTGTCCACAGCCTCAAACAGTCAGACTCCAAACTCCGCCATGGCCAAGACCAAAGAGCTTTCGAAGGACACCAGGAAAAGTATTGTAGACCTGCACCAGACTGGGAAGAGTGAATCTACAATAGCAAGCAGCTTGGTGTGAAAAAATCAACTGTGGGAGCAATCATCAGAAAATGGAAGACATACAAGACCACTGATAATCTCCCTCGATCTGGGGCTCCACGCAAGATCTCATCCCGTGGGGTCAAAATGATCATGAGAACGGTGAGCAAAGATCCCAGAACCACACGGGGGGACCTGGTGAATGACCTGCAGAGAGCTGGGACCAAAGTAACAAAGGTCACCATCAGTAACACACTACAACGGCAGGGAATCAAATCCCGCAGTGCCAGACGTGTTCCGCTGCTGAAGCCAGTGCATGTCCAGGCCCGTCTGAAGTTTGCCAGAGAGCACATGGATGATACAGCAGAGGATTGGGAGAATGTCATGTGGTCAGATGAAACCAAAGTAGAACTTTTTGGTATAAACTCAACTCGTCGTGTTTGGAGGAAGAAGAATACTGAGTTGCATCCCAAGAACACCATACCTACTGTGAAGCATGGGGGTGGAAACATCATGCTATGGGGCTGTTTTTCTGCCAAGGGGACAGGACGACTGATCCGTGTTAAGGACAGAATGAATGGGGCCATGTATCGTGAGATTTTGAGCCAAAACCTCCTTCCATCAGTGAGAACTTTGAAGATGAAACGAGGCTGGGTCTTCCAACATGACAATGATCCAAAACACACCGCCCGGGCAACAAAGGAGTGGCTCCGTAAGAAGCATTTGAAAGTCCTGGAGTGGCCTAGCCAGTCTCCAGACCTCAACCCCATAGAAAATCTGTGGCGGGAGTTGAAAGTCCGTGTTGCTCGGCGACAGCCCCAAAACATCACTGCTCTCGAGAAGATCTGCATGGAGGAATGGGCCAAAATACCAGCTACTGTGTGTGCAAACCTGGTAAAGACCTATAGTAAACGTTTGACCTCTGTTATTGCCAACAAAGGTTATGTTACAAAGTATTGAGTTGTATTTTTGTTATTGACCAAATACTTATTTTCCACCCTGATTTACGAATAAATTCTTTACAAATCCTACCATGTGGATTCATGGATTTTTTTTTTTCACATTCTGTCTCTCACAGTTGAAGTGTACCTCTGGTGCAAATTACTGACCTCTGTCATCATTTTAAGTGGGGGAACTTGCACAATCGGTGGCTGACTAAATACTTTTTTGCCCCACTGTAAAAACAGGAACATACTATGGTGTCAGTAGGACTAGATTATAGTCACCAGGCACTGCATCTATTAATGGCATTCTGCTTCGTATTTGCTATTCCCAAAGATTTCTATTTCACGATTCTCTGAGTACCAAGTCTCTCACTTTTGTCTCTGAGCAGTCTTGTGTTTGTCTTTGCCTAGTATGCCCGTGGCTACCTAATGGTCAGGGAAGGGTTTAATCAGATACAGCCAGAAGTAATGGAAACAGCAGAGTTCCTCCAGCAAGTCTAATCTATGACGATTCCAATTCATCAGATGATTTTCAATCTTCATGAGGATAATGACATGCTGATTGGACAAAACTGATTTTATTCATGAGCAGCAGAATAAGAACCCTCTGGTTTATTTTATGGTGCACTGGAGTGTTGTCTGCTGAATCAGGTCCGGAGTTTAAAGTCAGAGTTCTTAGTGTCATCAAGAGGTCTCTTTTTACCATGGCAACTTCTGCTGAACACAAAACCTGGTTATGAGCAGGTTATGTTCCAACTTTCAATTTAAAATCAGCCGGGCCCTCCACAGTTTTATTCTTTTACTTACAGCATCTTTTCAGCGATTCTCTGTTGGAGAGTAAGGAATAGCCATGCCTTACTAACATCATCAAATCAAGCCCAACTGTAAAGTTACAGCAGCACAAACGGTCACTGGAATCTGAATGCATTCAGTTAGTGATGTGCAAACGTATACATGTTTAGTGTTTTTTACGCTGCTGGAATTACAGCCAACAGGGCTAAGGCTAAAAAAGTCATCATCTACATTTGTAGGCCAATACTTTCCAATTAGTAAGATTAATTTTGCTCTGATCTGGTGATAAACTAAAGTGATTTCCATGTCTCCTGTACAATAGGCGATGGAGGAGCGTCAGACGTGAACACACTAACATTCAATGTTTCAGAGCTCTAATGTGCAGCTGTCAACAAAAACACATGGCAAGTTTTAGTTCACAAAATTAACAGTCCTCCTAAACATTTCTCTCTTATTTGCAGCACATTGTTATATATTTTAATATATTTCTTGTAACCTTTATTACCTGTTTGTCTGCTGATGAAACCTATTGGAATAAGCAATGCTCAGCTGCTGAGGAAGAAGAGTCAAAAGATACATTTTCTTTTCCCTGTTTTCTGTGAGCATGCACAGAGCCTGGTCCTGAAAGCCCTGGATAACAAAGGATGCTGATAACCATTATCGCTGGCTGGGCTTTTAGGTTTTGTTAGTCGAGCTAATGCAGAGAAAGAAAGAAGGCTTGGCTGTGTTAAACTGCCCCGTAGCACTCAGTTAACTATCGAGTTATCCCATCAAAGTTTTCTCATGTTAGTTATACTTTACACATATTACACTAATCAACAATTACTATTCACTAAATAACTGCAGTTTTTCTCGGTTTCCTGTCACATTCAGTGATGCTGTGTTTTGTAGGTATGAAGGGCCATAGACAAACATGCTCGTAGGTACAGACACGTGAAAGGCCTACCTCTACCACACAGGGGACCCAGATCTTTGGTGGCTGCTTTGTGTTTTTGTGTAGTGTTGTGTCTGCATGGTTGTTATTGCATGTCTGTGTGGTTTTAAGTTTGGGTTTGAGGTTCATCCTCCGTCTGTAGTTTTGCCTCTCTGGAGTTGTTTTGCAGTCATTCTTCATATTTCTTTTTTTTTGGAAAATGAGTTTTGTTTGTACAGGATGTTCAGTTTGGTGTGACCCCGCTGTTCAGCACTTTCTGTGATCAGGAGCACTTTCAGTAAGAAGTCTATTTACGCCACCTCCTCAATAGAAACTCAAGTACTCTATCTGCTGCCAGGCTTTGCATAAAGCAGCTCACACACTTTTAATTTGTATGAATCTGTACAGTGTGTTGACACTCATTGCACTGGCTCATTGCGATGTGCAGGGAAAATTTAGACCAGGCGCCAAAATCACACAAAGTGTGCTTCAGTCAGGGTCATGTTGCACCACAGTCCCACCCAAACCTGCCTGTACAAAAGGCTGACAGACACCGAGGACCTCAAGTTACATCAAGACCTGATTAACCGATCAAAATGGAGGAATCGCGTTGAAATGACAGGTCACAGGGTAGATCACCTGTACTCTGATCAGGTCCAGCCTGCTCACAGGACAACTACCAAACCGATGCGAGTCGCTGTGTCTCGGGGGGGCAGGTGAACCTCCAGGTGTGCAGCCGGATTCTCACCTGAGGGGGAGGGAGCAGTGAAAAATGCTCTGGTCTGCTTTCGGGTTGCCGATACTTCAGTTCTGCAGCTTGCTGAGCATCATTAACGGACGGGAGATGACAGCAGCTCGGCTCGGCTCGGCCTGACAGGCTGCAGCTCCACCCGCGGCTCCTCCAGGCTCTGAGGCTCCAGCGGCGGTAGCGAGCTGTTCAAGACCCCGGAACGACAGCTGAGCGCGGGCTCCGGTCCGTCAGCAGGCGCTCTGCTGCCATTCCACTGTACCTGCGAGCTGGTTCAGGATCGGCTCAGTGACGGCGGACAGCCCAGACTTCACAGCCTCCTTTTCACGGCAGAAGGGCCGAGACTGCAGGAAGGAAGGAAAGGGGGAAGAAAAAGCGCGTGGCGCGATGGGAAATGTAGTCCTAGCAGGGCAGAGCGCTGTTTTCAGCACAGCCTAAATACTACGGTTCCCTGCGTGCATTCGCCCAGAGACCATCTCCTGGTATTTGGAGTTTGACTTCAGCAGACCTAAAGTAAAACAACCGGACATGCTCACAGCTGGATTCAGAAAAGCTGTTTCTCCTTTCATAAGATATGAAACTTCATAAGCCCCGGCATGTGACAAAAAGCCTTTTAGGTATTCAAAGTTCTACATTTGTACATTTCAACAACTTTTTCAGACACGGGAAGTCAAATGTACAACTTATAAACACCAGATCATTATAATGAAAATGTATTATGGCAAGGTATGAAGACTTGAAAGTTATTTTTACATTTTTGTTGACACCCGTAGTGAGTCTACAATAATATAATAATAATAAATAATATAATATTCATCCCTGCATTCAGGAATTATAGGAGAACAAAAAGCACAGATAATGGGCAACAGATTTAAGAAAAGCTAACCTACAGAAATTGGTTTTTTGAAACGAACCACAAATTTAGCACACCTGATGGCTGATGAAGGCAGTTTTGACGTTTGGCCATTACAAAGTGAAAGCGCGATCTCCTGTGGTTTCAAAATAAGAGTGTGGAGCAGTTAAGGGGGGCACAAGGGCCAGTGGTGCCCTGGTTAAAGCCAAGTATCAATGGTACAAAAATGTCTGATTTCTGAGAGGTAAAAAAGTAATTTACTGGTAAAGGACCTGAAGCTAAGAAGGGAAATAACTGCTGAACTGTCAGGCTCTGGCAGTTTCACAGAGCACATAAATTATATGATTAATTCTGGATTTAGAAATTTGATTAAAAAAAAAGACTATTAATTTTTTGCCCATTATTACAGTGATAGGTTAAACTGTAGAATCAGTAAAATATGAGGTTGGTGAGCGATCACAACCAGGTCATTTTATCTTTATTTTTGGCTTAATAATTGAGAAAATGGGCAATGAGAATGACTGAGCATAAGGAATGGGAGGAGCAGGTGTGAACATAGGAGGGCAAAGCAGAGTACTCAGTTAGTGAAACCTGTAAGTGGAACTGGTAGATAAAACAGAACCCACCACTATCTGGAAAAGAGGAAAAGGCAGGATCTAAACAGTCAGTCAGATGTAGCAGACTGGACAGTCTGGCTGTAGAACCAGGCTGAGCAAATGTGCTGGAGGACCTGGTCGCTCAGTCTGGCTCATCGCCGACACCCCTCTACTAACCCCTGCCCTGGCAGTGACACTCCATCGGATGGGGGAAGAGGTCCACCCCTAGCCATTCCAATCCAGTTGAAGAATGGGTCCTGAGGTTGCTGCCATTATTATCAGAGGAGGACCTCAGCCTCCCTGCAGCAGCAACCATGTCATTCAGTTCATTTCAATTAAATTTTATGTATATAGGGCCAAATCACAACAACAGTTGCATCAAGGTGCTTTATATTGTAAGGTAAAGACCCTGCAATAATACAAAGAGAACAGGGAAAACCCCAACAATCATATGACTGCCTATGAGCAAGAGCTTTGGCGACAGTGTGAAGGAAAAAGTCCTTTTTAACAGGAAGAAACCTCGAGCCATGACAGGTTGGAGTGAGGGGAGAAAGACTTATAATAATAACAAATAATTAAATGCACTCACATAGTGAGTGTAAAAGGTGATGCCCTGATGTAGGGTGAACAATGTTGGACAGGCTGGGCCTCTCCATGGAGGACCATCACTGCCTCTTCAGGGAGGGGCAGATGGGACCAGAAGACTGACCCTTCTTCTATGGCTTGCACCCTGGCCCTGAGGAAGAGAAGGCCGACTGCTGAGCATCCGCATTGCGGGCTGCAGCCGCCAGCATCGATCAACACCTAAACATGAGATTCAATATGTTCTGGACCTGAGAGCAAAGCTGCACACATTGAGCAGATTATATCAGGAGGAAATGTTAGCAGCACCTGTACAATAGAGTCACTAGGCTCAGGCAATTTTCACTGAGAGACATAGTACTTGTATTACTTCCTTCTTCTAGCTCAAAGTTATTCGCCAAGTGGCAAGGACACTTTGCGCGATGATATTTTTGGACAGGGGAGGAGTCACAGAGATATTTCACCTCAACCTGACAAAAGCATGGAGAGAGGCTGAAGGCCAGAGGTGTTCAGGACCCTACAGGTTACCTGAACATAAGAGAAAAATTGTACAGAAGGAATTCGCTGAAATGCTAAAAATATAGTAATATTAATTAAACTAATGTTATAAATATTATAAGAGTCAGACAGTGCGAGGTGTAGCCCAATAGATTTTGTGGTAAAGAAAGATGCGTCTATACGGTTTTGTGTTGACTACTGCAAGGTGAATGAAGTCTCAGAGTTTGACACTTATTACATGCCCCAGGTTGACGAGCTCCTGGACTGGATAGGCTGGTTTTTTCACAGTACTGGATTTAACTCATTAAAACCCGATGGGAGCGCTGGCTTTGTATGTCAAATTATCGTGACTCTTGAACCACTGGCACAATTAAAAAAAATTCCAATTGCTCCTGAAGGCATCAACTCCATCCTTTTTCAGTGATATTAGGGTCATTACAGTAATCCTAGGCAGGGTGCAACATCCAAATGTCTGCAAATAAAACAAGACAACACAGCAAACAGCAAAAACAAAACAAAAACAACTTAAAACAGACAAATGCCTGATAAAATGTCCGTTTTCTCCTTTCATCACACTCACTGTCTCTTCAAGTGACCTTTGCCTTCGTTGGGCTGCTGCGAGACCTGAATTTACCGTAATGACCCCAATATCACAGATAAAGCAAACACATAATTACACAAATATCACAGAAAAGCGTAGAGCTGGTGCTTTCAGGAACCGCTGGAATCTTTTCAACTGAGCAAATGGTTCAGAAGTTACAGGAGTTACAGATGTTGGAAACAAACGTCACAAAAACCATTCTGGTGCTAGGGATAAGTTGGATAAACCAAAGGCTACTGGCAGAAAAAAAGGGAAAAATGGCCTTCTCCACTCTGTCCCACATAGCAAAATTGGTATGGCCCGGATCTGGCCCACACAATGTGCTTACACATGGCCCACATACCGCAAAGAATGACGGCCCTTTGGTGGCCCAGATCAGGTTTGCCAGAGGTGGGCCAGCACAAGGTCAGTTGCAGACACACTGGTGGTCCTGTACTGGCCCAGAACAGTTTCAGCTGTGGCTCCAGATGTCAGCCTAATGTGTACCTTAATCAAGCCATGTAATAACAACATGTACCGTATTTAGCACAGATTAAAAATGTCTCAACAAAGGTAAAGCAGCAAATTTATTTTGAATTGAATAATTTTGATAATTTATAATTAACAATATATCAATTAATACTGCTGCTGGAACTGTTCGGACAGTGAATGGACTGATTCTTATATAACGGCGTTTCTACTCTCAAAGCGCTCTATACAACATCAACGCCCAATCACTTTCTCTAAACTGAGTGCTGAGTACTACGTTCAGACACATTCACACTCCGATGAATGCAGAGAGCAGTTTGGGTTAGTATCGTGCCCAAGGATACTTGACATGCAGACTGGAAGAGCCAGGAATCAAACCACTAACAAACACAAACATGAGTAAACTCTCACAAATAAGTGTACACTCACTAACCTGTCAAACCTGCATTTGAAACATTGGCTACCATAGCAGTGTAGTATTGCAACATGGTATTTGGGTCTTCTAACTAAAATAGGAACATAAACAGTGCCATCATTGCCACACCTGGCCCACATCTGGTTGGCATACACCCTGCCATGACACCAGTCAGTCAGAAGTGCCAGCTTGATGCCAGATCTGGGCCAGACCTGTTTTCTATGAGCCTGGGCCACATAAACCAAACCATAATCAGGCCAGATGTGGTATGCCATCACATAAATAGAGCCATCTACACCAGGGCTGACCCATATCTGGATGACCAACTTGGGATGACATAGCAGTTACCATGCCAGCAGTCAGCCACCAGTGTCGGCTTGACACCTTATCTGGGCCAGACCCGTCTGCTATGTGGGGTATGGTTTGTAACAGTCTGTGACACTTCAGTTCAGCATGTCTAGAGCCAGCCATTTTCCAGGGCCTCTTGGACTGGGTGCTGGGTCTGCATGCTCCATATGCTGATGGCTATCTGAATGGCATGATCATCCATAGGTAACAACTCTTCTGTGGCAGGTGTAGTTTGTGCCTCAGCTGCAGGTGATTGGTGGAGCAGTGATTCAGGGTGTGGTGTCAGGGGAGGCTGACCTACAAAGCTGACCTCCATCATCTGATCATGCCTTCCCTTTCGAGTAGGACCCTAGAGCCTAGTGGGAGAGCAGTGTAGTGTGCAGCTGGAAAGCTGCATGAGCAGAAAAATGCCTGTGTGTTGGGTCCTTCTTATCAGACTTTCAAATCCAAACATACAAACAAATGAAACCATAGATGTCCATAAATTTAACTATGCGTAATAATGTGAAATGACACAGGGAAAAAGTATTGAACACATAAAGATATTGAGGTGCAAAAAGGCATATAGTCTTCATAATCAGGATACGATGGGAAAGCCAGATTAAGGCTTTGTGTTCTTATGCAAGAGAAGAATGTGAGCTACATTGTGTTTAGAGAGGAGAATTTTGTGACAGGGTATCAGGCAGAGTCTCTGCTTATTTGCCTTCATGTAGGGGTGGTTGGCCCCTTGAGTGCTTTCAGCCCCCAACGCACATCCAGTACCCACCATGTAGTTCATGTATTTGGACATGAGAGGTCACAAAAAATTGGTTTTGTCTTTTAGTTCTTCTGCTTCTTCTTCTTCTTCTTCTTTGTTTTTGGAAATAAAGGGAGATTCAACTGAATATAATAAGCAACATATTTTCCTCTGACGACAGATGAATTCATTCAAAGTCACCTGACCTTGCTAAGATTCAAAATTACTGTCAGAAGTGATGAATGATGTAACAGATAACAGAAATACCCCCCTCCCCTTTTAATCATCTTAAAGCATCCAGACAATTAAACTT